GGATAAAATTTAAAAACTATATTTCAATTGTAAAAAAAAATAATATTTGATATTTTAATATAATAATAAATTATCACAAGCTCAAATACGATCACTTTTGACATTTACCATGATATGTTTCCTAATAAATATAACTTTGGCCCCTGTCAATAATAAAAATGACAATATATCATTCAACTACATATATAATCTCAAAATATAATCATATGCCAAGTCAAGCAAGTTCCTAGTTAATACAATTTAACAAAATTAAGCATAATCCTAATTAGTCACAATATCAAAAGAGACATGCATAGCACATACATTACAATATCAAAAGATAATCCGGCTATGTTTTTCCATTGAAACTAAACAAACACTCCTAAATATCACTAGCAAGCAAAGCTCTAGCCCACTCATCTCTTTCATCTCAGGGATACTAAAAAAGTATGAAACTAAAGCATCATCCTTTATCATCATCCGAGCTACCTTATGCCGTTCTATTGTGTTAATGGTTGTGGTCTTTTTTAGCTCATCTCTAATCCGGCTATATTTTTCGAGCACGTCTTCACCAACAGCCCGACTTAAATGTTCACTTGCCTTTTCAATAACAAAATGAGTCTTCAAAGCTTTCATTATTGACTCTATGTGTGGCCTAACTAGTAAGTCACATCATGACAACTTGTTATGTAACTTTTTCTCAAGAGCTTGCAGATGTCCAGCTTTGAAATTACCTTCCACTTTATATATTCCCTCGTTATGTAACTCCATTAAATGTCAATTAAGAATTTATCATCATCTTCATTCCAAAACCTTTTATTTTGATCTAGACTTCTGGATTTGGAAGTGTCCATCCTAACAATAACAAAGAATAAACATGTACACAATCAAGAATCAACATCCTCTATGACATATAATTAGTAACTTGCAAATACTATAGATAAAAACATAACAAAGCGACACATTATTCGAGAAAAAAACATGACAAAGCAACATAAGTTTGTCCTAATACAAGCAAACACAAGTTTTATTACAACTTCCAAAGAAAAAACACAAGTACAATTGTTATGCATTCCTACGATGCCTCAAGTCATTAGGGCTGGCAATTTCAGACACGACACAATGAAACGACACGAAAACGACACGAGATAAATGAGTTTGAACCGCACGATTATTAATTGGGTCGTTAATGGGTTGGCACGAATAACACGAAAATAAATGGGCTGGATTCGTACCAACCCGTTTAACACGCTTAACCCATTTAATTAAATGTACCATTATCGGGCCGACACGGCACGACCCAGACCGACCCATTTAATATACCCAAATATATATATATATATATATATATTAGACAAAACCCTAAGTCTAAGTGTCTAACTCCCTGTCCCTACCCTGCCTTAGTTCTCTCTCTCACTCTCTCGAGTCTCATCTCACCGCCTCACCTGCCTCAGTCCTCAGTCCTCATCCGCTTCAGTCCTCACCGCCTCAGTCCTCACCGCCTCAGTCCTCACCCGCCTCAGTCCTCACGCCTCACCCGCCATTTCAGGGTCAGCCTTTCACCATTGAGATTGATTTTGGGGGGCGAACGACCATTTGGATTTTGATTTTGGGCGGCGGACGGGACGGGGCTTTCTCCATCTCCATCTCCATCTCCATGTACATACTCCTCCTTCTTCTTCGCATTCAATTTCTTCTTCTGATTATTGTGATTATGAATTTTGGCATCTTTTCACCATTTGGCAACAGTTACAGAAGTTTGTTTTCAAAATGGCTTCTCGAGCGTAGGTGTGTTACTTTTCTCTGATTAGGCGCAAATCACTTCTACATTGGGTCGTGTTTGTTTCTTCAATCCTCATAGTTCCTATTTCTTTTTTTAAAATTGGTTGTCCTTTTTAGTATTGCCCACCAAATGATTTCCTCAGCATCCGAAATTGTTGGTTATTTATGCTCATCAAAGTTTGTTTGGCTGTTTTGAATTCTGTTATAATCTTATTTTGGAGGGTTTTTCAAGGCATTTTGCGTCACGATTTCCCAAGAATACAAGTGATTTGCTTAGAATTGGATGTGCAAAATGTTCTATTACACTGGATCTTGGATCAAAAGCTACTGGCTTTATTAGTAATTGATGGAATCCACAACAGATATTTATAGTAGAGCATGTTATTTGGTCCATTAATTCAAGATAGAATGACAAAATTGAAAACCGTGTTTTCTCTTTAGGTGCCTCATTCACAGAGCCAAATAAACCAGATCGCTCTAAAATCCAAACCGTGACTTTGTAGTTAGACTTGGCTTCTCTTTTGTTGCAGGGACAATTAAAAACCGTGTTTTCTCTTTAGGTGCGGTTTAGAGGAATTAATCTTGTTTTCCTGCTTCAAACATGTTGAGGAATTAATCTTGTTGAGTATAGTCCAGAACTTGGACAAAGCTGCAGTGGCTCCAAAATATGCATCCATAATACTTCTTTGATGCTTAGCTATGGCTGTAAGCGTAAAGTAAATCAGCTTTTGACAATATGCCTGTGATTTTGTAGCTGTTATATTTTTATGCATGTGGTGATGAATAATAGCATTGAAAAAAAAAAAAAAGTGTGTGTCATTCTAGAAGCAGTCAATTGTGAAATAACTTGCTTGGTTTGGTTTGGATGATTTGCAAGATGGTGTTTCTGACTTGCTTGGTTAGGAGTCATGAGAAGTAAATATGTAGTTTCAATTGTGAAATAACTTTATGTCTTTCTGCTTGATTTTGCTAAGAAACAAGATAATCTTTATTTTTTCTCTGACTTGTAGATGGATGATTTGCAAGATGGTGTTGGAGTAAATTTAGAGTCAGACAGCACTATCGCATCTGCTGCTGCTACTGGTGATGCACCTATTGCATTGGAGTTGGAGGTGGATGTTGAGCCTAAAACTAATTCCAAGAATCTGACCAACATTTCTAAACATAAAAGGAAGCATACTTCTGTTGTTTGGAACCAGTTTGAAAGGCTTCCAATGGGTGCAGATCAGGAGCTAAAAGCCAAATGCAAGGAGTGTGGTGTGGTGTATATGGCTAATAGCAAGAATGGGACTGGAAGCATGCGACGTCACATGCAATCATGTGTACGTAGAGACACGCGTGACGTGGGCCAACTATTGATATCACAAGACAAAGGGACTTTAGCGTTGAGTGCAAAAAGGTTTAATGTTGAACACTTTCGTGAATTGATAACAACAGCAATCATTTTGCATGACCTTCCATTCTCCTTTGTTGAATATGAAGCTATTAGGGCGACTTACCAATATTTGCATCCTGAGATAAATTTGGTAACTAGAAATACTTTAAAGGCAGATGTCCAAAAAATGTTTTCTCAGAAAAAAGCAATAATGAAATCTATGTTGGAGTTGAGCCCCGGTAGAATTTGTTTGACATCTGATTTGTGGACTTCCATAGTTACATATGGATATTTGTCATTAACTGCCCATTTTATTGATAAAGATTGGGTATTGCAAAAGAGGCTTTTGAATTTTTGCTTCATGCCATCACCACATACTGGTATTGCATTGTCTGAAAAGCTTTATGCATTATTGTGTGAGTGGAGAATTGAATACAAGGTTTTCACTCTTACTTTGGACAATGGCTCTGCTAATGATGTGTCTGTTGATCTGCTGAAGAATCAGTTGGTTGAAAACAATGCACTTATTTCTTATGTTTCTTTTTTTTTTTCATATTCGTTGTTATGCACATGTTTTGAACCTTGTAGTGCAAGAGGGGTTGAAAGATATTAATTTAGTGGTTAAAAAGATTCGTGAGAGTGTGAAATATGTAAGAGGATCCCAAATTAGAAAGAAGAAGTTTTTAAAGTGTGTAAATCTTGTGGGTCTTGATTCTAAGAGAGGTTTGAGGCAAGATGTACCTACAAGATGAAACTCAACATTCCTCATGCTTGACAGTGTCTTGTATTATCGACGAGCATTTTGTCATTTAGAATTGAGTGATTCTAATTACAAGGACTGTCCTGATCCATATGAATGAGAAAAGGCCGAGAAAATTTGTGAATTTTTGAAACCCTTTTATAATATCACATGTGTTTTTTCGGGATCTAAATACCCCACTGCAAACTTGTACTTTCCAACTGTGTACACAAGTTATTTGTCATTGAAGAAATCCGAGACAAGTGAAGATGCATATTTGTCTGCTATGGCAAAAGCAATGCTTACCAAGTTTGAGAAGTATTGGAAAGATTTCAGTTTGATATTGGCAATTACGATTGTGCTTTATCCTCATTACAAGTTGAATTTTGTAGATTATGCTTATGGTAATGTTTATAAAATGAAAAGGTCACCTCAATTTTTAAAGTTAAAGAGAAATTTGAAGTTGTTGGACATTCAACCTCAAGGCTCAAAGAATACATTTTTCTATATTTATCTTATGTTTTATGCACTTAAATAATCAAATGTTTGGTTATGTTTTCAAACGTATTTAAATGTAATTGGTTATGTTTTCAAACTTCTTTAGATGTTTAGTAATTAGTATGTTTTGAAACATGTCATAAGTGATGTTTTGGATATTTTAATGTGTGTTGACTATTATACATGATTTTAATTATAAGTGATATTAAGTAGTTAATTAATATAGTTTTGAATACAATATAAAATTCCACTATTTTTGCTAGTTCGGTCATAAACGGGTCATACACATGTTTTTTTTCGTATCAGCCCGTCACGGCACGTTTAGTAACCGTGTTCGCGTGTCGTGTCGTGTCGTGTTAACCGTGTGTTATTAGCGTTTCGTGTTCGTGTTTGGGTTTCTGACACGTTTATTAATCGTGTCGTGTTTGTGCTCACTATAATCGTGTCGGCCCAAACACGGCCCGCGAACACGAATTGCCAGCCCTACCAGTCATTAAACATATCGTGTGCTACAGTATTCCTCCACTCAGTCCACCCCTCTGAAGGTTCAACGGCCGTTATCAAATCATCATTATCTTCTTTTTCATCTTCTTCGTCATTCTCACACTCATCTTTTGGTATTGAATATGGAACGTCATTAGGCATTTCGCACCTAATAAAATTATGTAACAAACATGCCAAGATAATGCAATTTTGAGTTTTAATTGGAAAGAACGATGGACTACAAAGAATCGCCCAACGACTCTTAAGTACACCAAAACATCTCTCAATCACATTCCTAGTATGTGAATGTTTCATATTAAAATACTCATGTGCATTCTTAGGTTGTGGTCCATCTTCCTATTCCTTGAGATGGTACCGTTGGCCACAAAATGGAGCAAGAAATCCTTTACAATTGGTGTATCCAACATCAACAAGATAGTAACATCCTGTTAAAAGAATTGATAAATATAGATTTAACATTTTGTAGATGTAACAAAGAATGGGTAATCTACTTTACTAGTAACTAACAAACTTACCATTTGGAACACGTAAATCATTTGCCTACGTAGAGCATCGCGTAATACTCTACCATCAGCTGCAGAGCCTTCCCATCTAGGCAACACATATATAAATTCCATATCTCGTGTGCACACTCCCAAGACATTTGTTGCTACAGAACCATGTCAATTACGGTATTTTGGTCTCTCTGTCATAGGCACTCTTACCCTAATATAGGTTCCATCTAGTGCACCTAAGCAATTCTATCATAACTAAAAGATAAAATTACTAATTTAACAAAGGGAGTTGCCCATTTCTAAGCATACGAGACAAAGATGTACATACCTTAAACCATTTTCACTTCTCGTCAGTTGCATTTGTGAAAAAATAGGAGAAGAAAAAATATTTCTTATTCTCTGAAATTAATTCTATACAGCCGGTCTACTTAGGGTTTTTATACACAAAAGTAGAATCTCCTAGATTACACCTTATCCTATTATTCATGGGATATCAGGAAACTAACTGATTACCTTAATCTTAAGGATACAAAATATAAATTTCAAACTTTCCTAATATATCCTATTTACAAAATCAATATATTGCGTTTTCCACAACATTATCTGGAACCGGCTCGGGTTTAACAAATAACAGAAGTCGAATGATTGAATGCAAGACATTGTGAAAGTACTTACTAAATATTTGCCCAGATCTCATAAAATGGAATTTTATAACTCTATTTTTCTCATGGTGAGCAATGGTATGTAAAAACATAGCCACTTGCTCATCTACTTGCAAATTACTGAAAGCGTTTCTATTCATCCTTAATTGATCTCTACATATGACATCACTTGTGTAAGCTAGTTGATGAACGTATTGCCTATGAACAAACACGTCAAGCACATAAAGTTGTCTCCACACAAAGTTTGATTCTAAATCCTCCATCACTACTCTTTCAATCAATTGAAAGAACCATTGCACTACATGCATAATATTCAACCAATATAAAAACAAAGCAACTATCTTCCTCTTTCTCAAAGTTTCACTTTTGTCTAATCTTAAGCGAGCCATTATCCTACAATAAAACAACCAAATTAGTACATTTAAACTCCGTTGTCTAAAATATTTGAGCATGAAAGAAAAAACACTAGCAACAAAGAAGCTAAAGTAAAATTTTCTAGAATAACGACACCAAATTGTTGACGCCGGTATAATCAAAGTCAATTGTCATATTGAGTACTAACATGCAATTAATGGTGACAAACATACAAATGCAATTCTAAAAACAATCTTTATCAAATTTTAAATAACCTGGACCTGGTTAATGAAACATAAAACCATTTGCGTAAACTTCCCTGGCTCTATACTAGGAAGCAAGTTTTAGAGTTTCAGTCATCTGGGTAATCCACTAAATTCATCGAATAAACAAGATCTAACCTGAGGAATCCGAAGGAAGAGCTCGATGAAAAGCTCAAAAATTAAACTGAATCTAGTGTGTAAGAATCTCTCGTCTATAAAAATAAAAAAACTAAGAATTCTAAACAGACAAAATCCGAAGATCAGTGAAAACCGAAGATCAAATAGTGAGCAAGCCAAAGATTGAACAAAACCAACCACAAGAGAAAGACAAACAGAGATAATGGAAATGGAGACGTACGGGTCGATGCCAAAGATTGAACTCCACACTCATCTTAATGGATCCGCCAGAGACTCCACTCTCTTGTTAGTTAGTTTTTTTTATTTTTTATTTTTAAAAATTTTTTTTATAGTAGTTTGATTCGTATACTTGTGGGTTTTAGATTTTTCATTTTTTTTTTGTTAATTTTGGTTTGCAGAGAACTTGCTAGAGGGTTGGGCGAGAAATGTGTCATAGTTTTCAGAGGTTTCCTAGCAAATTCTTTAGCGTGTCAAAGCAATGTGCACATTTAAATTCAACAAAAAACAGATCCAATGAGCAAAGCAAAGCAAAGTAAAGCAACCGCGAAAAAAATTCATCACACGGGTTTTCAATGAGCAAAGCAATAAATCCAAGAAACAGATCCAAACAAAAATCACTCGAAAAAAAACGAAAAAAAATTCAACCGAGATCAAAGAATGGAGCCTGACCTTGCCGGAATCAACCGCGACCTGACCTTGCCGGAATCAACCGTGACCGTCTCCTCCAATCGTACGCCGGCAAACTTCGTCCTGGCGCGGCGAGAACCTCTTCGTTTTGGTCGGAACGAGCCAAACAGAGTGGAGGAAAGGAGAAACGCAAGAGAGAAGGCGAGAATCGATAGGCCGAAGAACGGCTCGGGTCGCGACGGCGATGGGAGCTCGCGTGGTCGCGACGGCGATGGGATCTCTAGGGTTTGTCTCTTCGATTCAAACTCAGGGACAAGATGGAGAAAATGAGAAAAAGGGCTGAATGGAAATGTTATTCCATAGACCCCCCCGAGTGAATGTCCATTCATTCAAATTGAGTAAATGTGCTTTCCAACTGAAAGTCCATTCCAACTAAAAAATGAAACCAAACAAGAAAATTGGGGATAATGGTCTTTCCATTCCAATTCATTCCCCCCAACCAAACACACCCAAAGGTTTAAAGCTTAAGATATCTGCATATCAAGGAATCTTGATTCCTTGCAAGTTCAGTGCTCTAGTCTTCACTTTAGCTAAACACAAATTTTTGTATCAAACGTTAATCCTTACACTTAAAACTCAAATATATTGCAATTTTAAGAGTGTTATTGGAAATCAAAATGCAACACATTTAAGCATCAAGATAGTTTATAGAATCATACATATTAAAATATAAAATTCAGAGAAGCATCACATGCGAGTATGTACAGGATTTTTTTTTTCCTTGGCGTATAATATTGTGAGAAGGGCAGATACCATATCTAAAATAATGGGGAATGACATGCTTATTTATACCTTGTTTAAGTTGATCAAAAGGTGCATTTCTCAGCAAGAGTGATACTGCCTCTGACATAAAATCTTGGACATAATCTTTTGGATAATACCTCAATTTCTGAGTAACCCTTCAAAGAAAAATAACACAAAAAAACGGACATGACCACAAAAGTTCACAAGTGAAATTTCACAAAAATGTTTGCTCCTGTGAGATGGAATTTTGTTTTTATGCCCACGTTGTCTAAATCTAAACATAAGGACAGCTTTTTCTTTCCCACATGGAAAAGAAATAATCAAATAGATAAGCTCGCACAAAAGGAAGCTTTAATTATATCTTGTCGTCTTCCCATAACGTTAAAAATTCATGTCCTAAAAATTTTAACTTCAAACTTGAATTTTGAAATTCAGAACAAGAAGCTGAACTTCTAGACCAAAAAAAAGATCAGAATAATAATAGTTATAATAATAATAATTATTATAATAATAATAAATTAAAAATAAAATATATAAAAGAATTTTTCTCTTATAAACAAGCATGCATCAAATTAAAATTAAGAAGTAAAACCAACAAATTACTTGAGCACATCCGCAAGGTTGTTTATAAGATATCTCTGTAAATACATCATAATGTATGACTAGGAAGTAAAAATCCGCAAAATGTAGCACCAGTTCATTTTCATGTTAGCCACTTTTTTGGTTTTATAAGAAAACTTCAGTTCATTGATGATAAAATCATATACAAGGAAAAAGGATAAGGCATTCTCAATAAACAGAAATAAAGAAAAAATGAAAAAAGTAAAACAAAAAAAAAATGCAAAGAATAATATAGTTTGCAACTAAAACATCATAGCAATAGAATCAAATTAAACCTGCTCGATAATTTTTGGTTCCCTATCTTGCACCGCTTTCTAACTATTAGGGAAGTTAATTAGTCAGTATAGTTGGCTTTCTTGTTATAGAAGCTTTCTTGTTATAAAATCTGTTTAGAGTTTGTTAGAGCTTTGTACACGTGTAAACGTCTTAGTAGATATGGTTTTGGTTAATTAGAAGTTAATCTAGCTATTTATAGCTAATATTGTACATTTAACAATATATAGAAATCAATACACAATTCTTCAGAAAATATTCGTTCTTCTTCTTTCTAATACTAACAGAGATAATAGAGACTAGATAACTTTTGCTAAGAAGCTGAACAACTCAAATATGCACAAAGTCAGCCAAATGCTCAGAAGATGAAGTAAATATTTTATGAAAAGCACCAAAGTTACGAGAGAGAAGAGTTAACACAGGAAAAAAAAAACAATTTAAGGGAAGAGAAACCTACAACATACTATCTTCTTCCAGAAGATCTCTACATAAAGCTGCAATTAGTCGGTAAATGGAATAAAACAAGTTTAAATAACATTGTAAAAGGTTATGTTAATGTCGATTATGGGAACAAGTGTTTCAACCAAAAAAATATAAATTAGGAATTATAAAAGATGATGAAATATTTTACATCCATCATTTGCTAAATTTGAGTACAAAGTAGATGCTAAGAATCAAAGTCGTATGACAATCTAATTTTTTAACTATTGGTTTCTAATCTTTTCATTTATTTTGTGACGAGCAAGAGGTTCCAGGTTTTCTTTCCTACTATAATCTGTCCCCTCTCGTAAGGGAACTTGAGAACTAGTTATTGTTGTCGTCTTCTTCAAAAAAAAATTGTTTTCTTTTTCTTCCTAATTTTTTATAAGAAATAGAAATTTTATTAAGAAATGGTAAAAATAATACAATTCAGAGGATGAGGGATAAATAAAATACACAGGAAACTTTGAAGAGACAATTACAACAACAACAAAAACCCAGAAGCAGTTGAAAAAATACAAATCATAATGACCCATTACATCATCCCAACTAAGAAGAATTAAATAAAAAAAGTGAAAAGTACAAAAAAAGAGGTTTTTTTCTCTCTTTTAGTGAGAAACTAGTTTTTTTTGTCGGTATTGCGGGAAATATTGTTATATTATAGAAGAAATTAAGAGTTTTTACATTACAGTATTATTTTATATATACATACTACATTAAGAATTAGGAATGGATATTAAACTGCTATATACCTGGAACGCTATGAACCATGTTTTAAAAATGAAACAGCAAACACTCAAACGTCAATAAGGACTAAGTATGTTCACGCAAGTAATTTGTATACACTAAATAACAGTATATCAAAATTAGTAACAATTAATAAAATCAATAATCTTGTAATAATAGTCAATTCGTTTTATTCTTTCATATATCAAGAATATTAACATCCATAACAGTCTCTTAATAATCAATATACTTAATAAATTTAGGGCCCGTTTAGTTCGTTGATTCGAGTTTTTAATTCGAGTTGAGATGTGACTTTATATGAGAGCTTTTTACTATAGCAAAAAAGTTAAATATAATTGTTTCTGAGAGCTTTTTACTGTAACAAAACTCGAATTCTAAATTCGAATCGGTGAAATAAACGGGGCTTATTGAATGACATATTTGTCAATACAATACATTTGAACTAAAGTAGTATATAAATAACTACAATGATTAGATATTTTGATTTATTTATGAAGCAAAGGACAAAATAGATATAGATCGGTAATATTTGTTAAGAACATGAAAGAATATTTCTCAAGTTTTTAAATTAGTAATATGAATTAATTATATAACAAAGCTTTATGCCAACATAGATAATTAAGTATAAATAACAAATATGAATACTACTATAATAAATTGCTACATCCACTATCAGCAACAGTTATTAAAAATACATGGAAGAAAGTTCTTAAGAACACCTCAAGCGCTGCAAATACCACTCCAAAGTCTAAATGCCAAATATGGGCTATTTACGTGTAGATATTGATGAATGATACAACGATAAGAACAGACAGTGTTAAATGGTAAGAGACCCTGAAAAATACAAATAAATAAGTGAATGATTAAATAAATAAGTAAATAAAAAATTAAAAAGGAAAACACAACAAAATGAAAACTACAAAGTGAGAAAACATGAATGTTGCAACATTTTGTTTGTTTTTTATCTAGTGATGAGAATCATAATGGATTTTCAAAGACAGTGATTTTATAAGAATACCAAGCAATAGCTAAGAAATTGGTATTTTACAATATTGAGTACGACCATTATTGCTATATGAAAACAACGTTTCAAAAGAGAATATACCAAATAGAGATATGTATGTGTATAGTTCCTTTAGCATATGTAATAGCACGATATTAATAATTTCAGTTTTTTAAGCAAACAGATGGCGTACAAATGATAAAAATATTCAAATAAATACAAAGAAGAACAAAGTAGGCCAGAACTTTATAAAAAGGAGAAAAAAATGAAAAAATAAGCAAGGTAAATATTGAAATAGGAATCACACGGCCATAACAGTTTTTAGATAAATCATATAATGTTTAACATATATAAATCAATAATGATGAATATTCGTATGCATGTGTGGTTGAAGAAGAAGTTAAAAAAAAAAATACATTGATAGATCATGGCCATTTATTTATGAAGCAAAGGGAAAAATAGATATAGGTCGCTATTATTTGTTAAGAATAGGAAGGAATGTTTTTAAAGTTTTTAAATTAACAATGTGCATCAATAATATAACAAAATTTTATGTCAACATAAATAAAAGAACATAAACAACAAATACTAAAACTATTATAACAAATTAGTATCAGCAACAGTTATTATAAATGCACAGAAGAAAGTTCTTAACAATACCTCAGACACTGCAAATACTTCTCCAAATGTCATATATAGACTAACCAAGTATAAATATTGATGCAAGATACAGCGATAAAAACATACAGTGGTAAAATAAGAACAAAAAACGAAACAAAAGATGAAATAGAAGAAGGGATTAAAAAAAAAAATCATTCTGCGAACACTACTTATTTATGAAGCAAAACATGAAATAGAAACAAATGCCTAATATTTTCGTAAGAATAAGAATAAATTCTTGTCAACTTTCCACGCCATCAATATATATCAGTAGAATAGCATAAGCATATAGGGAAAAAGATGAGACAACATAAACAACCAATCCTGACATTGTTGGAGCAAGCTGATGCATTCAATGTTAGCAATAGTAATTAAAATTGTACGGGGAAAAGTTCCTAGTAATATTTCAAGATGGATTCGCCCTCTGAAACAAGAAGTTATGGTCCTGGAGGGATAATATCAACCACTTGACGTCCATCCGATGCATCCACTATGATTATTTCGTATCCCCCTTTTTCTTTTCGTATGATTTTGCTTACTATACCCGCCGATGTAGCATTATAAACATTATTGTTACTCTTGCTCCCGTCGGGATAAATCTGACCCCTTCCCCTGTTCCCGCCTACGTATATGGGATATTTTAAGAAGTGAACGTCTTTCTTAGTAGCGGGGTCCGGGGAAAGAATAGGAAAGGTGATTTCACTATATTTTTGACCAGGAACAGGACCTATCACAAGAATATTTTTTTTCGTGGGGCGATAGCTCTGAAAAGACAGATTGCTTATCTTTTCTTTAATCTCGGGCGAAATACGATCGGGAGGGGCTAATTCAAACCCCTCAGGTAAAATAAGAACAGCTCCCACATTCAAGGCTCCTTTTTTACCATTAGCAAGAACTTGTTTCAGTTGCAAATCATAAGGAATTCGAACAACTGCTTCAAATACAGTATCAGGAAGTACCGCTTGTGGAACCTCGATATCCACGGGCTTGTTAGCTAAATGGCAATTGGCACATACAATACGGCCAGTCGCTTCTCGTGGATTTTCATAACTCTGCTGTGCAAAAATAGGATACGCATTTGAAATGGGTGCCCGAGTTATTATATATATTATGAGCGATACGGCAATGAATCGAATAATCTCTTCCTTTATCCAAGAAAAGGTATTTCTCATTTGCATGGTCCAATCATTGATCCCGAAGATTTCTACAATAAAATTAGATAAGTCACTAGTATAGTTCCCTATCTATGATTCTGTTATTTACTGAAATAATTTGACTCGAATATTGAAGGAATCCCCCGAAAAAAGAAGTACAATTTTGACTGTTTTACTTATGTTACAAAGTAACAAACATTATAATTGGATCGGTCGATCATTTTTCAATCATTCATTGAATGATAAATTACTACAAGTGACGGAGATACACGATTTAAATAACGAAAAATCCAATATTTAAAAATTGTATCTAAAATGACTGGAAAAGTAGAAACAACACCGGATATAATTTGATCATTATGAGCAAATCCAAAATCTTTGTAGATAGAGCCAATCATTAGTTCCCAACCATGTTCCCTAGCCTTACAACCTAGGCCAACAAGAGGCTGCTTACTTGACTCGCTCTGCGCAAGGGTCCAGGCGCGAGGAGCACTCAAGAGAGAAGTTCATGCCCCTAATGAAACATGGCTCGGATATTGGATATTTTCATTAACGTGGGATGAATAAACAAATTTATATATTCAGTCATTTTATGGCTACCTACTATGGGTAACTGCATAAAGGCACGAAAATTAATAAGATGTTATATTCATCACACGGGTTATAACTTGTATTCCACCCAAAAAAAAAAAAAAAACAGACCAGAATAAGATATAGATCCGTCTAGCAACTTCCAGGTGAATAAAAAGAAAGAAGGACAAATAGACCAAATCAAAGTAAAAGGAGGGAAAAAAAGCTGAAGAAAAGGGTGGACGAAACATAAAACATAAGGAAACTGGGAAAGAAGTAAGGCCTAGAAGTTTACTTGCCCCAAGAGAAAAAAATGGTAAATCAAGCTTAGAATATTATAAGTAGACTTTAAAGTTTAAAAAAATCTAAAATTGCTTGCTGAGGAACAGGAAAAAGGGAAGAAAGAAGGGGGTGGGGGGTGAAGTTAAACCAATAAAATAACATGAGCCTTTAGGATAAGTAAATAACTATATAACATTTTATATAAGTAAATGAAGTTCTATTTACACAGTGTAAATGTAAACACCTAGGATTGAAAATAATTTAAAATCATTAGAAAATATCATGGCCAAACAGAAATAGTTGAAAAAACCAGAATTTAATTTTGAAAAAAAAAACTAATATATATGTAAATAACTTATGTATTAAATATTGGTCATAAGAGGGTAAGGACATGAAAGTACGGAAAAACAAAAGAAAAAAAGAACTTAAAAGTTTTGAATAAAAAACAATGGACAAAAATAGAATAGAATTAAGATGGTATATTCACAGCAATATTTGGACGGATTATATCAAACTTAGATAAAACAAATACAATTTCAGATATAAAATTATTAAATACTAATGGTGCTAGAGATAGGAAAAGTTCAAGAAAATTGTTTCCCCTAAAATTATTGGGAATTCCAGATAATATAAACGAAAGTTGTCAAAATTTCCAGAAAATAGAAGGAGAGAAAAATCAACAGCTCATTTGATATATCTATAACAAAAGCAGAACAAATCATCAACCTAGGAGATCAGATGACCAATACAAATAACCCAACTCATCAAGGCAATAAATGAAACAGATAAAACCAAGAATTACCGATATACAACATCAAACGAACCAAGGGAAAATTCACTCATGCAAATAAAATCCCTGCACAAACAAATCCATCAAAAGAAAAGGTCAAGTATCCCAAAAAAATTTCAATAAAATAACATTTGTATTACTCAAAAAAAAAATAATAGTTGATAAAATAAGAGCAAAAACTTAAAAAAAAAAAAAAAGTAAAAACTAAGGGCAAATGATGTAACCGATGAAAAATACGCAAAAGGCAGAACAAAAAATGTACAACAAAGAAAAAATTTGAGACACGAAGATCAAACGCAGAAGAAAAATGAAGCATAAACCTCAAAGGGATTCCAACCAAAACCAACCAAAAGAGATAAATCAAAGCACCTGCAAAAAAAGAGGGGGAAAAAATAAAGCAACTCAGAAGGCAAAAGCTGAGAAGGAAAGCAAACATAGTAAATGACCACAAAACCCACATCAGAATTAACCCCAAATCAAAACTAACGAAAGAAAATAGATGAAATCAACAGCAAAACAGGAAAAGGGAAAAAAAAACCACCAAAGTCACGGAGAAGATCCAAACTGAGAAAGGAAGCAAAAGTAAGGTTTCATAGACATGAAATAAGCACAAAAACCCACACCAGAAACTCCAAGCAAAAGCAAGAAGAAGATATGGATGAGATGAAGATCAAAACAGGAAAAGAAAAAAAAAAAGCCAAACAACACATATCAATAGGATACCAAATTACTGAAGGACTTTCAGAAAAAGAAAGCGAGTTTTGGGGAACATTTGTTTCCTATATTCGTCATTGATTTTAAATCATGATTCATGGTTCTCTACAGTGTTTTTTCTCACTAAAAAATACACGTAAAATGAGAATGGTTCTGAATCATAATTCTGAATATATAAACCAAACATCCTCTTGGAGTCCGGAGAAGCCACCACGATAGGTGGAGACCTTCGTCTTTGCGTCTGCGTTCGCCGGAGGAGAGAGAGAGAGAGGATTTCAGAGGCACGTATTGTACGTGCATAGGGAAGTATCAAGAAAGGAATAGAGAGCTCCATATGCACGTACAACACACTATAGGCCGAGAAAAGACCAAAAACCCTCTGCCCAGAAACAGAGGAAAGGAAAACAAAAGGGGCAAAACCGTCTCTGCACTGCTCATTTACTGTATAATGAATAGTATTTTGTAAATGTGTGAACAGTAAAAGATCACCCCTCCTTTAGTATATATAATAATATCGAGAGTTTATTAATTATAAATGGAAAGGTGTACAACAGGGGACAAGGACCCAAAACATAAAACGTAAAACCAATACCCTTGACCTAACCCAAGGGGCTACTTATACAATAATCGTAATCTCCTCATAATTGCAAAATCAAATCCCAGACCCCTAACAAAACATTGTTACTATCAGGGGAAAACAGAAGTAATAGAAACAAGGAATGCTGTAAACAAACCACAGCTAAAATATTTGATGTCCCAATGCAAGACACCAGCATCCAAAGAGGAAAAGCAGGGGCGAGCTAGCATACCTTAGAATGGGCTCTACTAAAAGAAGTCCTGACATAATAGTTTCTTTGTGAAACAACACCAAGGTTAATGATTGCACCAAGGGTGTCATTTCTTTGTGAAAAGAAGTGAAATCCTCTGCTGTTTTTAGTTCATGCAATTAAATATCAAGAGATAACCAAAGTAGCCATGTGTCCGGCAAGTATGAGAAACTAGATGTTATGTTAAAAAATAAAAGCAGGGCATGTACATAAGCCTCTATCTGAGACAGTAAATCATTTTTACAATGTAGATGGATGTCAATGAAACAATGACACATAACAACTTTCTCTTTTCTCCCAAGTCCAACTTACGAAACACATAACTGCTTCTATAAGGAAAGTTAAAAACCTGTCAAATAAAAAAGTACTATCAACTGATACTTGACCTCGGACTCAATATATTAAAAACCAACTCGCACCCAAATAAACACCAACTGAGCTACCTTAATTGGCTGGTTGAAAACCAATCAAATTACAAATTGTGTACAATCTTAGTGAGACATGGTTCAACTGCTATATTTTTACACTTGTGCACTACTCTCTATTGAGTATAGCAAATATACGTCACCATTAATAATAACGAAGGAAAAAACTATTTTGTTATTCGATACAACACGGGATCGAACCTGTAACAACCCCCAAACCCCATCCCACCCAAAGTCTCTCCGGTGCCACTAGATCGAACGGTCTTAGGCACAAAAGAAAAAAATATTTTACGAATCATATATAGGGCCTAAAGCACGAATATCAATCTAATATGATTAGAGTAATAGGAACACACCCTCCATTCTACAAGGCAATCCCAGAAGAAAGAGAACCCCTATGATGGCCCAGCCTTAGTTTGTCGAGGCTTCAGTACACGTCAACATCAACATCTTCTAGCCTCTGAGAGAAACTCTTAAACTGAAATAATACAAAACCAACACCAATTCAGCACTAAACAGAATCAAAACAAAACAAACAACAATTATGAACAAAGAAACGAAATATTGGCTTCTTTCCTTTTTTACAATCCCAGTTCAACTTGAATCAGTCAGGAACAAACACAAAACTAAAAAACTGCGGATGCCTATGAACAGCATCAACTCATTTACAAGCATACCCCAAGACCTTCAATTTGAAAAAGCTAATGTAGCTTAGGATCTTCTACATTCTCAAATATATCTACTGTACCTTCTTCATTTATAGAGACATTATAAAGCTAGTTCTAGAAGAGAATACTACATATTTTGGAAAATACCATCATTTGAATTCATTCAAATATCATCCTTCTCAAATCGGTCCTGTAACAATGGGCTGTTGTCTTTCTGGAGTCAGAAGATTCTGTCACTGCTTGAGATCCAGGCACTTCATGCACTATCTTTGAGATCGTGTCCGCTTTTCCATTGGAACTTCCATAAACGTTTCATTTTGTCTCGATACTACGATAATCTGTCACAACCTTGTTTCACATGTAGTCCATGATGTGGAATTTTTTGCTCTGATAAACAGAGATCCATCCCTTTAGAGGGCTAACTAGATGTGCAGTAAAAAATAAGGCAAAAAACCTTACTGGAATCCAGAAGCTTACTAGCGCAACAGGGACATTCCATATATTAATTTTACTTTTTAGCTACTTTTTACTCGATATTTTTTGCAGTTGGGATGCAAAGACACGTGTAATGGTTTAAATTATATGCCTCACTATTAGAGTGTGTTTGGTAGGAAAGAAAAGTAGAAGGAAGGAAGAAGATGGAGGGATTTTGGGAGGAAAAATGAAAATGTAGGTTGTTTGGTAGGAGAAAAAAGAGAAAGGAAGAGAAAATAGAGTGGAAAATAATACATGTGGGCCCCATCATTTTTTTTCTTTCCACAAGAGGGCAGAAAATGGTATAAAAGTAACTTACGAGTAAGATTTTTTCTTTCCTCCCAATTTAACTTCCAATACCAAACAAGTGAAAGTAAACTCATTTTCTTTCCATCTTCTCATACCAAACAACATAAAAGAAAATCAATTTCCTTTCCATCATTGCTATTTTCCATCACTCCCATATTTCCGTTCTATTCTATTTTCTTTCCTTCCTACCAAACATAGCATTAATATGAGACACACGTAAAAGTGATTGCTTATTTATCTAATACTAGTGTACATGCCTCAAATTTATGTTTTTCTATTCTATTTAAAAGTGAATATATCGCATTATAGTTCCATAAAAAACAAAAAAACAATGAAAGAATATATCTCATTAGTTTTGGCTTGGGGACAGCTAATTTAATGAACTGCAAAACGAGACAATATGAAACAAAATATAAACATATGGGAGCACCATTCTGACCGAGCAATTAAACATCTAACCCGTAAATTGAACTCTTATTTGTCTAAAAGCTAAACTCACAACGAAAATTAAAAATAAATAAATAAAAAGTGTTAATTGATATTTAGGGTTCAAGGAAGATAGCTTACAACGAACCGACGGCGGCCGGCAGATTTGTTGAGCCTCTTGATGGCTTGAGCCTCAGCCAAAGTCACCATTGTCAGAAAAAGGAAGCTCAAAGTTTCTCCACCAAATAGTTCTCTTATACCTTTTTTTCGTTATCTTCTGCCGCCTCCGATTCTAGGGTTTTTTATTGGCTCTCAAGGTTCCAAAGATTAAAATGAGAAAAAGAGTCCAATTTTGAGGAAAATTTTGATAAATTCTGAATTGTCTTTCATATAAATCATTTATTCAAACATGATGTATAAAAAAGATTTAATTCACAAAGATCTAATCTATCATTAGTATTTTATTTTTTAAGTAAATAAAAGGCAAGCGGCGGCTGTTTAGTGATCAGAAGATCTACAGTTGAACCCAAATTTCTCAGCTCCCAAACAGTTCTCTTTTAGCTTGTATGTGTCTTAGCTTTCTTTTTTCTCTCTTTTTTTTAGAAGATTCTCTAATACGCATGGTGTACCAGTAGGACAAGATTTTCTAACCGTTACATCTGCATACTTTTGACTTTTATGTGATTTTATATAGATCTGACGGATAAAAAACCTGACCTACCGATATATTGGCGTACCGGAGAAGGTCCCCCTTTTTTTTTAGTAGAGAGAAAGTATCAAAAGATACAATCCATGGTGTAAAGAAATCAAACCAAATAATGTATTTTTCTATCTAAATGGCAAGTAAGAATAAATCACGTGATGTAAGAAAAACAACATATAAGATTTATTTAACTGTTCAGAAGAAGAAAAAATACATAAAGATCCTAAGATCATGAGGTTGTTGAAGACATCATTTCGGACCTACAAAATATAAAAATATTAGAGAAGGTATAAAGAACTAAATTATTGAAATGAGAAAAAAAAAAGATTAATGAACTTATCTTTTTTTTTTTTTTAAGATAGGTAGAAGTATCTCTTAATACAGTACAATCTATGGCAGACAAAGATCTAACCATTAATGGCCTTTTTCTATCCAAGAAACATGAAAGGTAAACCATGATAACCATGATTGCCTTTAAAAAAGAACAAAATCATAATTAACTGAACCGTCCCGAACAAGAAAAAGACATAAGATAGCAGCAACCGTGAAAAAGAATTACACATTGTTACAACCGAGCCTAGGAGGAATAAATACGAATGGATGTACTCTAGAGGAGCTCACAACGTTTTCGGTTGGGGAAGGGATGTGAGTGCGTGAGTAGGTTGCTGAGCTGGCTTAGACGGTTAGGCTACTAGGGAATAGTGCCTAGAGAGTAGGGACGTTACAAGGGAGTGAGGGGAAGAGCGAGAGCATTATCGAACTAGAATAATTCTTACTATTTGTATTCCTGGCCGAGCTGAGCTCGTGGATTTCCAGTGACAATTAATGAAACAAATCCTTTGGTTAAGGTTCCTTCAGTAGTCTAGCTGTGGTGTTGGTCTGTGTTGCTTGTGTGTATTTTGTGCTGCAGGCACTCAGTGATCCAACAGTTTGGTATCAGAGCTACGATCTGGGAGAAGAGAGAATGACGAAGGGTGGAACTCGTGGTGATCGCGTGGAGGAATTAGAGAAGAACTTGGATGAATTGACCGCGAAATTGACAGGGTTAGACCGATTGGAGGAGTGTCTCAAGGGCTTACCTCAGCTGGTGTCTAATCTCGTCAAGGAGAGTGTCGAGAATTTCAGTCGTGAACTACCGGATTCCTTGCCAAAGGGAAGAGGGAAGGAGGCAGTCGATGCTCTTGCTGCAGAGTGGAGGAGGCCACCACGGGAGCAGGACAGAGTGAGCCTTGGGATCTGACGGCCACCGGTGTTCCTCCTGGCCGACAGCCGCACTATACAGTGCGAACAGATGGACTGCGACCACGAGGGGCAGCACCTGGGAGGTTGGAGGTGATCGACGGCAGTTCGGAGAGGAATTTCCGCCGTGGGCTGGAGGCGAGCCCTCCAACCCGTTTCCTCACCGACGGAGGACTAGAGGGAGTCCACCTCATGTGGATTTGCAACCCTTCGACGGCGAGGGGTGGCCGGTCTGGGAGAGATGGGCGGAGCGCTACTTTCGGGTCAACATGATCCGGCCGGATGTTCGCGTGCAGGTGATTGCTGATTTTCTCATCAGAAGGGCATGGGAATACTATGAGTGGGTCTTGGAGGAAGAACTGGGCATGGATTGGGAAGAGTTGAAACTTGCCTTCGGGCAACGTTTTGGGCCTAGGGAATTCAGGTCCATCCAGGAACAATTGGTGGGCCTGAGACAGAGGGGCTCCATGGCAGAATATGGGGAACAATTTCAGGAGTTGTCGGCCTGTATTCGTGGAATGGACCGGGCTACAACCCTGGGAATTTTTCTGAATGGGCTGAATCAGGAATTGCAAGATGATGTCCGGATGTGGCAACCCAGGAGTGTACATGAGGCTATTCAAATTGGGCCTCCAGCTGGAACACAAATTGAAGGCCCAAGAAGGGGAGGCCACTTATCACCACCAAGGCTCCACTCCAAACGACAAATCGTTTGGGAACCAATAGATGGGGGTCGGTTTCTATGAGCAGCCCGCGTCCCTCTCTCGGAAATACCCAGAAGCCTGTTGAAGGCGGTGGTCCGAGCGCAGCTCAACTAGAACGGCAGCGGCGGAAGGACAACCGGGATTGTTTCCGGCGTGGAGAGCTGTGGACCGGCGGCCACCGGTGCAAGACAGGAACCCTCAAACTCCTGGAGATCGCGGTAGAGGATGACGACGAACCAAAAAAAAGGACGGCGCCACCAGAGGAGAGCCGTGGCAGTACGGACTCGGAAGAAGAGGAAGGGTTGTTGCTCCTCCAACCGGATTTGAGGTTGCAGGCGTTGGCCGGGATTAATGGGGGAAAGACTCTCAAATTGTACGGTCAGATACAGCGGAAATAGGTAACCATCTTAATCGATAGTGGGGCAAATTCCTCGTTTATCAGTTGGACCAAAGTTAAGGAGCTGGGGTTAACGGTAGTCTCAATTTCGGAATACACGGTCAAGGTTGGGGATGGTTATTGCATGACTATAGATACCATATGCCGAGGGGTGTGTTTGGAAGTGTCGGGTTTAGCGTTTGAGTTGGATTTATACCCTTTTGAGATACAGGGAGTAGATGTGGTTTTGGGGGCTGGATGGCTTAGGACGCTGGGAACCTTTACGGCAAATTTTCGACAGATGTGGTTAGAATTCGAGCTGGAGGGAAAGGTCCATCGGCTGGTTGGGGTGTCGGCCTTATCCCGAGAGCCTATCTCGATTACCGCCGTGGCCAAAATGGCCAAGAAAGGGGAAGAATGTTATTTGGTGCAGTGGCAGAGCACTCTTTCACCCAATGCCTGGAAGGAGGGAGCAACTACGACTTATATGGAGGAGTTGGAGAAGGAATATGAATCGGTGTTCTCGGGAAAACTTGGGTTGCCACCGTCCCGAACGGGGGATCATGCTATTGTGCTACA